ACTCTTCTGGCCTTCAAGGTTTGTGTTGAGAAGTCTGCTGTAATTCTAATGTGTTTACCTTTATATGTGATTTTTTCGTTTTTATCTGACTGCTTTTAAAATTGTTTTTTTCCTGTAGGATATCTGGCAATTTAATAAGGATATCTTTTTTTATAGTTGTTTATGTTGAACTCTTGTCACATATGGGAAGTTTTCTGCTTATCAATAGCCATTTGTATTATTGTCTAGTAGCTGCTGGATGGTCTTTTCTTATTCTCTTATTTTTTTCATGTATTCTTGATAATTTACCATTTTGTTCACAGTTTCAGACACTTTTTACACTGGTAATTTCTGCAATTTGTGAATTTTATAGTCTGCTTGACATCCATTTTTTTTTTAGACAGGGTCTCACTGTGTAGTTGAGACTGACCTGGAACTCACTATGTAGCCCAGGCTGGTCTCGAATTTACAGCGATCCTCCTGCCTCAGCCTCCCGAGTGCTGGGATTATAGGCGTGAGCCACCATGTCCGGCTTTTGACATCCTTTTGAGGATTCTATATTCTTGTTTTTTTCCCCTCCTATGTTCTTGTTGAATCTGTCATTCATATTTTGAACCATTTTGGTCAGGTCTTCCAAATTTTTACTGATTTCTCCCCCTGGGGCATATTGAGTGATAATGCTGTGAATTTTTATTTATTTCCTCTTTGAGTTTGTCTAGTTTCCTTCAACCCTTCCATAGACTCTGTGTAGAGCTCTGCTACCTTTGCTTGCCTCACGTTTATACCCCATGCTCTGTCTTGGAGACCTTGGGGGTCTTCTGTCACCTCGCTTCCCCATGTTCCTGTGTATGCATCTGCTGCATCGGTACAGAGAGAAAACCAGTTGTTATCTCCTGTGTCGTTACCTTGGCTATAGTAGTGACTCCAGTGCCATCACATGACAGCTGGGCACTGCCAACCCTAGGAGCCACTCCTGGACGTGCCCCCTCTGGAACTAAGACCGATAGTGGTGCAGACAGACCACGGTGCATTAGCCCGTGCTTCTTCAGACAACTGCTGAGTGTAGGCAGCCGTGCCGAGGTCACAGCTACCACCAGAGTGCCTTCTTCTGGGCCGCTCCTCTGCTGATTTCACCTCCAAGCCTGTCCTCTCCCAACAGAATGTGGGCGCTGTGAACTCCTCGGTCTGACCCCACGTCTCCCAGGAGATCCCCACTTAGCTGCCCCGCTCCAAGCTTGTGAGCCCAGGATTCTGTCACCTGGTCCCTGTGGAAGGGAAGCGAAACTCTCCATCTGCAGGGAGCTTGGGTCGGCTGTCACCTCTGTCGCCCCACGCTGAGGAGAGCCCGGCGTGTGCTTGTCGCGTCGGTCCAGGGGTTCCTCCTGGCGGGCTGTGGCCAGGCGTGGGGTGGGGCGGTCATCTCGTGGGTCGCGGGCTTCCTCTGTGGGCCGTCGCGTGGCATGTGGCCAGCGCGCAGCTGGGCGCTTACTGTGGTCTTGATCTGCATTTCTCTTAATTAGTGAGGCTGAGCATCTTGTCATACGCCTGTTGGCCATTTGTATGTCTTTAAAAAGACCACTATTCTGACTTAATTTCCTTGCTACGGACTTGTATGAGCTACTCACATATTTTGGATAGTAACCTCTTCTTAGAAGTAGTTTGCAAATATTTTCTCCCAGTCTTTAGGTCGTCTCTTTAAAACATCTTTTTAGTGTATGTTTGTAGTACGTGATGATTACAGGTAACTGTCTTTTCATTTCGTGGTGCGGGAGGTTCCCGTTTGATGAATCCCCACTTGTTCCTTTCTGAACCTCACGTGGTGTGGCACCTGCCGTCACGATGGGGGCTCCCTGCGGTCATCACAACGTGCACGATGGCTTACACGCGATACAGGTTTATGTTTTGCTCACGGGCCGGTGTCGGGCAGGACAGGGAAGGGAAGTGACCTGGGACGAGCCCTGCCCTCCTGCGTGCGGGCTGGCCTGGGGGTGGTGCGTGTCTCCGCCTGTGGTGTCCTGTGGGTGGGACTCGTCCCTGTAGGACGCCAGGGAGAAGCAGTCCCTGGCTGTCGGGACACAGTGGCAGGGGAACACTGTGCCGGTCACGTGTGCCGCCCCACGGACAGGGACCTCGTGTGAGAGTTGCAGCAATCAGAGTAGGAAGCAAGGGGGCGGGAGAGCTGGCCGGGAATGTGTGAAAGGGGGGTCCCAGCTCAGGAGGAGCCTGCGTGGGGGGCGTCTGCGGGGTCCCCCGCCCGTGCGTGTCCTCGCCCCTACACCACCCTCGGCCCTCTCCGCTGTCAGTAGGTTCTCGGGGTTCAACAGCAGAGACCCCGCTCATGGGCGGCTGGGGATCACCGACGGAGGCGGGGCCGCCGCCTGTGGAAAGAGAAGGAATGACCACGGAGGTCCTGGGGAAGCACCTGGCGTCCCTGCAGGAGGCGGCCGGGCCACCGCCCGCTTCCTACCGTAGTGGACTTCAGTCTGCAGTCTTACAGCAGTGAAACACTGGGAATGTATTTTCTCTCCAGAAGTGGAGAGATATTTCAAGAAATATCCCAATAACACCACCTGCTGTTTATTGAGCTTGGCTGTGAACCAAGAACTGTGTGAGGTGTTGTATTCGTGGAAGAACTGAAAGCACAGGAAGGCACTGTTATCTCCCAACCCAACCTGATGCTGAGGGGCTCAAGGCGGCGCCCCAGGGTGCACTTTCACTCACACCTGTGAGGGAGTCAGATGCCAAGAGTGTGGGTCCCCTCCTCTGCCATAGCACCTTACCCCGGGAGCACTGGAGGGGCTTGCTGTGGTCCCTCACCACGGGGAGCCTCCGGTCGTGCGAGCCCTTCCTGTGGACGTGTGCACCTCAGAGCACACTGTCCCTCTCCAGGCCCACCTGTCAGTGTAACTGCAGTGCCAACGTGAGGGGTCCTCTGTGGGCCCCAAAGTCATCTGACTCAAATCCTACAGGCTGTGCTGTCCTAAATCTGACCAGAGGACCTTGACTTGTCCAGAGATGGAGGAATGGCACCAGCCATGGTCCATCCAAGTGGGAATTAAAATCCCCATAGTCCTGGAAAGAGGATTGTTCTTCAGCTAACCCCAGGGCTGGAAGGACTGATCAGTTGCTTTAGTTTTGTGAAACAGTGTTTCACCATGTGTTCCAGGCTGAACTTGAACTCACTATGTAGCCCAAGCTTGGGTTAAACTCATGGCGATCCTCCTGCCTCCAAGTGTGAGATGACAAGTGTGTGCCACCGTGCTTGGCTTCAGAACCCTAAACTTGCCTGATCATCAGGGCCAGCCTCATACCCTGAACATCAGCTCGTTAAAGGCAGCATCATGCTAGCAACAGCCCACACTTGTCTCTAGAACTAACAAAACATGCTTTCTAAAACCCTAGTGATGGCCAGCAGTTTGCTTTGCTTGGTGAGGCTCTGCCTGACCTGCCACACTTCTCTGTAAGTAAGCAGAAGGCTCAGGTGTTTTTGTTTTTTGAGAGAGGGTGTCACTCTGTAGTTAGACTGGCCTGAAATTCCCTATGTAGCTCAGGCTGGTTCAAACCTAAGATCTTCCTGCTTCAGCCTCCCATTATATTGGGATTACAGGTATGTGCCACCACACCCAGCTTGTTTAGTTTCATATACTGAATAGTCTTATTTCTTTTATGTCTATTATTTTATCCAGTTAGTGCCTAGGGCCAATACTGAAATGACTAAGTGATGGATTTTTAAATTCTAATATTTTGAATTATGTTTTCTAGCCCTTCTTTGCTCAGTGATTACATTTAGACAGAAATTGGGGCTATGGTGGAGGCCCCAGCCTTGGGACATTTAAATTATTCCTGGTTCTTCCAGCTGCCTGGAGAAAGACCTGCTCCTTTAAAATCAGGACTTTTTTTTTTTTTTTTTTGGTACCAGGGATTGAACTTGGGTTCTTGCACTTTTGAGGCAGGTAGCAGCACCACTGAACTAAATCCCTGGTCCTCTAAAATCAGGACTCTTACACCTTGACTGATTTCTTCAAAGGACAGATCTTTTTTCCCAGTTTTACTCACTAATCTAGAAAGTTAGTGTATAAAATCTTACTCTCATCCATATTAAAAACAAACCTCAGGGCTGGGGATTTATCTCAGTGGCACTGCGCCTGCCTTGCAAATGCCAGGCAAGGTCCTGAGTTTGATTCCCAGTATTGAAACAAAAACAAAAGCAACCCCCCCAACTGGGCATGGTGGTACATGCCTCTAATTCCAGCACTCAGGGAGGCTGAGGCAAGAGGATCCTACAAATTGGAGGCCATAGAAAGACCCTGTCTCAGAAAACCAAGCAAAACGAACAAACAAAAAATTCCATATTCCAAAACTCAAGTCAGACAAGCAGCTCAGGCAGGCGTGGGTGTGACTGATGGATCTGGGGACAGCAGGAAGACAGGGCTTCTGTGGCTGAAGGGTGGAGGACCTGCGGAACAGCCCTAATTCTGAGCATCACCCCCTTCCTTGTGAGTGACCCCGAGATTTCTACTCTCCTCAGCCAACAGGGACTCAAGAGCATCAGGCCTGGTTCCCATGGAAGCTGTCCGTTCCAGCCACCAAAGAACACGACAGAAGTACCCCAAGGTCACAGCACAAGCCATGTGGAGCCAGGCTACTGCCCTGCATCTCTGCCTCCTCCCCACCCTCTCCTGGGTCCTTCCCACTCTACCAGCAAGGACACTTGGTGTCATTGTGAGCAGCCTCTCGTGACACTTTTTAAGAACCTGTCACACAGGGCCGGGGATTTAGCTCAGGGGTTCCAGCGCCTCCCTTGCAAATGCAAGGACCCGAATTCGATCCCCAGTACCCCCCACAAAAAAGAACCTGTCACACAGAAGGGCCAGGGATTCAGCTCAGTGGCGCTGCAGGGGTCTTGCAAGTGCAAGGTTCTGAGTTCGCTCCCCGGTGGTGATGTTGGGGAGAACCTTTCACATAAAAACTAAATCTTTGAAAAGTTACATTCATAAACTTTTGTTTTTATTCTCTTTCTGTACACATTGGCAATGATAAAGCTTAACGATGCATGTCCTGTGAAATATGCAAAACAAGGAATTTACATAAATAATTTATAGTTCAGAAAATTAAAGTTGAAAAATATTTTCCACATTATTAGAGTTCACAGTATTTAAAGTATATCAAGCTTTCCCCCTTCTATTTAAAACTCTATTGTCTTAGCAGAGAATCTAGTCAAGAATAACATGATCAAGTTTCTGGTTGTTTTCAGGGCACAGCTAGACACTATTTCACCAGGCTGTGCGAGCACCAGGCCGCAGTGTTTCATCCCAACCCTTTGCCTCCTGAGTGCCATGACCGGCAGGGGTCACCAAACCACTCCACACTGGGCACATTCGCCAAGCGGTAAGTAAGGTCTGTTGGTCTGATGCCTCATTCCCACATAATACTTTCATAGCCCTGAAATAGAAACCTGGCATTGGAACATGGCGGGACTGCTAACACTGGGGACAAGGCACTGCGCTGGGGGTTTATAGGAAACATCCTGTTTGCATAGATTGCTAGCGATTTAGTGTGCAATAAAATATAGGCCCAGCGTGCGTGGCTTTGTGATGGATGAAGCCGCGTGATGCTCTCAGCCCCAGGAGAGCGGTCTGCTACTCTCCAGCCCTGGCCCTTGGGTGCTGTCCTTGAGTCCCCTATGGGAGAGCTTTTTGTTCAAAAAGCTGCAGGTCAAATCGGACCCAGACCTCCCCGGTGGACACCTCATGCAGCAGGAGTCGGCGGGTGGTAGGGCCTTTGCTTTCTTGCTCTGTTCGAATTTTTGCCAGTGGAACTTCAGTACGACCCAGGAAATCTGGCAAATAAACATCATATGAGTCAAGAGTCTTTGTTCTTTATAACGTTGTTTAAAACTACCTCAGGAGGAAAGTCTGAAACAGGATTCATAAAACATCTGTTATTACTGTGTCTAGCTGTCCCCCCAAAGCCTCACTGGTCATAGGTGGGGCTTTTCAGAGGTGGCTGGACCTAGAATGTGTGATGCTGGGATTAAGGGTGCCCCACTCTGCTTGTGTGAGTGCTACCGCCCTGTGCGTGGGTAGCCTGGTTAGAATATAAGGGACAGAAAGAGGGCTGCTGTTGCTTGCTACGTCACTGCCCGCTGCCTCCCACCTACCCTGCCATGGACTGTTTCTCCTCTGCCGTGCCACCCTGCCTTGGAGCCAGCCAACTATGGACTGAAACCTCTACAAACTGTGAGCTGAAATAAACCTTTACTCCTTTAACTTTGGAAGTTGGGTATTTCGTCTCGGCAACAGGAAAAATAACTAAGACATCAACAACCAAAATCCAAAGCAAGTAACTTGTGTACAGAGGGTGGGACTGTGACTGGATGCATGCATAATGACAACAGATTAGCCTCACAGCAGCTGCCCACGTGGACGTCCAGTCTCTGTTCTGAGATCAGTGTTCTAGTCCTTCAGCACAGTGTGTGTAGTGACTGGGGTCAAAGACCTCAAATGTATCTGAGGCTGTTCCCTCCCCAGGGAACAGCAGCAATCTGCTGCCAACACAGCTCTGTGCCATTTCCTATGTGGTCACAAGGCACACACTGGCCAAGCACCTTGGATCCAGGCCATAGAGTCCAGTCATCTGGGAACACCTATAAGCCTCCTACCCAAGTTATACTTACCATCTGGAGAAAACTGGTCTCTGTCAAACATGGTGAGACACAGCACATCTTGGTACAGATCCTTGATGAAGAACTGGCAGTTAAAGTTCCATTTGGGGTTTAGAGTGTCCTGGAGAGTTCTGGTGGTGTAGCTCTGGGAGCCCATGCTGACTTCACAGTATGGATTGCTCTTTCCTGAGCGGAAACAAACCACAGACATGGCACGGTAGGTAAAATGTGTGACTAACAGGGCCATCCTGGAGCAGAAGCAGGACCCATCCTGCTGCTTCTCTGGGTGGGGCCCATGGCAGCAGGAGCCTCTGCTTGGCGGACCACATTTGCTTGTGGCCGGGCAGTACAGCCCCTGTGTTCCCAGTGCTGACCCTGGGAGCAACTGAGAGCCCAAACTCCAGGCTTTCCCCACCCACGAGCCTGGGCAAGTGCTGGTGCAAGCTGCTTAGTGCTTTGCCACACAGGAGCACACAGGAAGGCAGGCACTGGTACTTGTGAGGGCAGCCAGAGCAATGACACTCGTCTAACAAAATAGCTCACCACTAGTTTAGTGGCAGCGGAGACACTGACTTTAGAAAGCGTCCCATCATTAGTGTTCAGAAGGGTCCCGGCAGTGTGGGGCATTAGCGCAACCGCTGGTGTGGGCACTCACCATTTGCTTTGCAGGCTTTTAACTCTGTTGCCTCAATGACGTGAACCATCAGACGCCCAATGCCCGAAGTCTTCTGAGAGCGGGCTGTGGCAGAGGAAGACAAGTTGCGTTAATTCCTTCTCTGAGGTGTGGGCAGCCCAGGGGTGAGGCTGAGCTGGAGACCTTCACAGTCACTCTTGATACTTCTTTCTTTTTGATGCTGGGGACTGAACTCAAGGTCCTGTGCCTGCTAAAGAACACTTTCTACCACCAAGCTACATCTGAGCTCTGTCTTTCTTTTCTAGTACCGAGGATGGAACTTGGGATTGTGCTTACGAGGCAGGTGGCGGAACCACTAAACTGAATCCCCAGCTCCAGCTCTGTCTTTCTATGAAAACACGACAGCCTCATCAGGCACTGCACTGGACCTAACTGCCCAGTACCTGGCTGCTCAGGGTCTTTTCCCGGGCTGTGCACCTGCTGAGAAGGCTGCTCGCCACCTCTGCCCATCAGCACCCTACTCGCACTTCAGAATCCAGGGCAACTGCACAGCCACTGTCTAGAGCTCTTCCCTCCTGTGTCTACCACCCTTGACCCTCTAGCACCCCACGGCGGCTGAGGGACTGTTTTATTCCTCAATGCATTCGCCCCTCAAGTGCCTAGTAAACAGTGATGCATGATATCTGTTCAACACTTTCTAGGAAGGGACATTTATAGGATACTTACAACGTGCTAGGCACATGCTGCTTTTATATGAACAATATTTAAAATGTAGCTCCCCATTTCATAGAAGAGAAAAACCAGGCTAGAAAGGACATAAAATACTCAACACGGAGCTTTTGGATGGCAGGGTGGAAATGTAAACAGCAGATACCCAAGTCTAAACCATTCACCAAACTTCCAGGTACATTGAAGTAAGCATTTCAACTTAGAAGGCAGTTTTATTTAAGGTCTTGTTCTACTCAAAATGCTTTCAATACAGAAGAAATGAGCCAGAGGGCTCATACTAGGTTGGTGGAGGTGAAACTGAGCTCAGTCGGTTAAGGAAGGATGCTCGGTGAGCTGTGAACTTTGAGTTTGGAGCAGTACAGCCTTCTGTGTGAGAAGGGGTTGGCTCCTCTGTGCCCACACCCGCATTTCTGCAGAGCCCTCCCTTTCCCGCAAGGCAGGGCAGGGCCTTACTGGGCTCTACAGGCCCAGTTCCCTGGAGTTCTGCGCCTGGCACACAGTAGTAGTCCATAAATGTCTACGGACTGAACACACGGACAATGCTGAATGGTACACATCGATAATGATGGTAGGCAAAACTCATGGAAAAACTGATTTAGATCTTTGACCAATTAAGAGATCATATATTTGTTATGAAATGATTCCATCATTGATTTTCAACAGCAGGCTTTTAAACATCATTGAAATAACATTCAGTTAGCAAAAGTTGATGCACACATACCTTTCAGGAGTATAGAACAAAGTAAGAGAAACCTGAATAAAAAAACATAAAGAGCTGCAGAGACAGCAGCCAGAAGCCTAGGCAGGACTGGAGGGGAGGGCGCCCCGAGGTGGGGACAGGAGGGGCGGGCGGAGGTCCTGGGGACCCTCTGCTGGGGAGGCTGTGGCGACTCCAGTCACTCACAGGGCGGCAGGGGGCACCGGACTGGTACATCTGTCCTGTGCGGAGAGGACGCGATCGACGCGGACTATATAGAGCCTACCGGGCCCAAGTGAGGCAGGGCGCGAGGAGCTGGTGATCACCGGGAAAGGGGCTCGGGACTTAAACAGAAGCTGCCCTGAGTCTGACGCGGACTCAAGCCCAGCAGGGCGGCCAGGCAGCAGGGAGGGCGAGGAGGAGGCAGTGTCTGGCTCAGACGCTGTAGAATGGAGGGACTCTGGGGTGTGTGTGTGTGCTGGGGCGCTGGGCTGGAACACGAACGAGGAAGGCGTGACGGTGCCTGCGTGTGGGCACTGGGCCTGGAAACAGCGAGGCAGGGCTAAGAACCTGTCACCAAGGAGGCAGCCGCTCTCGGGAGAGAGCCCCGGAGACGGAGGGGACCGCTCTGCCTGGGGAGGACAGGCCCGGCGGAAGCTGGTGGAGCA